ATATCCAGTTTAAATGAATATTGTCATGAAACAGTCAAATCCTGCCTTGGGTCTACTGACCTTACACATACCAGCTGACATAATATTATTGGACTCATATGAGCTACACTGTCTATAAATTCGTACCCTCTTTAAGATGCCTTTGCTCTGATATTTAAATTCATCCTTGAGAAATCATTCTTACTTTGTTTCCTCTGCCATTTGTATTCTACCACCTGATATAAGAAAAATGGAAAAATTTCCGGTGGGAGGAGGGAGAAAGTCTTCTAAGATTACCCCACACCTGAGCTCTGGTTTCCATTTATATCAGGAGAAACTAGCCTATGCGGAGAGTTTGAAGTCATAGCAAAATAGTTGGTTAAAGAAGTCAGCAATGATGTTATACCCACATCCAGAAAAGAAAACAGAGATGGAAAGGAGAAGGGAAAGGGAAGATACAATCCAGGAAATCTTACAGAGATGCTCTTTTTCATGTGATATCTGCCTTCTTTCTTAGAGCTCTCAATGGTTAAGTTGCCTTCAAAGACCTGATACTGAGATGAGATTTCACCAAAAAAAGCATTTTATGCAAAACTCCCACACGAAGGAAAAGAGCCTCCCACACACTCAGCAGGTCTAACACTTGGGAATTAGATACATCAATTTTGCCAAGAATGAAGGGAAAGTGAGTGATAATTTCTAAAGTGACCTGGATACAGAAGTTCTCAAGTCAAACTTTCACAGCAGATAAAATGATTGGGCCTGACAGTTACATATACTCTTTCCCAAGGAAAAAATGAAAATCAGTGACAGAAAGGCCATAATAACTTCGAAAAATAAAAGAAATCCTATGAGAGTCAGTTTATAAAATAACTCCTTAAATTAGAAGTAGATTCTTATGCTGAAATGAGACTTTGAAATTATGGTGACTCAGACATAGACTGGTACTTTACAACACCACTTATGAATGCTACAATTAATCCAGTAATTCATTTTATTGATAATGTACAATTAAGGTGCTAAATGATCTGAACATATTACTTCTCTTACTTTAAGTGCTTTACACATTATAATTAAGCAAAGCAAAGTGAAAATCATACAAATAATTAAGGAAACCAGTGTTCAAATAAATGAAATAAAATTGTTCTCAGTACTCATTTTAATCTCCACGAAAAGACTATTACATACTGTTAAAGATGGTAGGGCTTCCAAAAGCACATTAACACAGTCTGAAATTGGTATTTAATTTCTTTGACTTGGAGTCAAATCAATTCTTTTCTCTGGTGAGTGTTTTTCATAAAAAGAGGTTTCCTCTTCCAAATAAAAATATTGAAGTAGCATCAGGATTGTGCTTGTAAAACCATACAGAAGAATGATACTCTAGTTAGAATCCACAAAGAACTAGTCAACTTTAAATTACTAATATATATATATATATATGATATGTGAGTATCTGTGTGTGTATATATATGTATATATATGTGTGTATATATATGTATTTTTTTCTCTCCTTGGGATACTTTTGACTGTCTGGGAAACTATACTTGAACACCAGGTAGCAATGTATTTGTACATGTACTTGTATGTAGCATGTACTAATTGAATATATCTTCAGTTCTTTTTACCAAGAATTTATTTCCACTGAGATCTTAACTAGTTGAAATATGAAAAAGAAAAAATTAAATCATAGTCTTTTCCCCAAGTGTTACTCCATGGATTGTGTCAAACATTTCAAACACTCATACACACACACATACACAGAGTTTGAATATCAAAACAGTCATATGAGTAAGATACTGGCATGTCCCTTTAAGATATATAAGTAAAATTAGTCCATGTGATGAGATTGCAGTAGAACCTTGCTACCTTGGCATCTGTAGGTATGTGGTTCCCAGAATGCTGCCATTGAGGAAAATCATGCATACTCAGGATGCAGTTTCATGTTGTACTGAGGATGTGGATGCTTGATTCATTTTCCCTCGTAACATCACTCAACTTCCACTAAAAGCATGCTTCCTTTCAACAAAACTCAAATTTTCACTCCATTGCTTGAATGAAGCACATTCACATTTTACCTTGTAAGACAGGGTATTTGAGAAGCAAAGCTTCACAAAATTGAGGCTAGGGAAAATATTCAGAAGATCACGTCAAGATTTAAACATACTGACATACTGACAATGACACAGAACTGCCAAGAGCGGCTTACCACCAAGCCGTGTAATGCAGGCAGGAATTAAAATTTTTGTTTTTGAGATTTATTTATTAAGCTATTTGGTCAGTCGTGGGGCTTGAACTCTGGGCCTGGGCCCTGTCCCTCAGCTCTTCATCTCAAGACAAGTGCTCTACCACTTGAGCCACAGCACCACTTCCGGTTTTTTGGTAGTTAATTGGAGATAAGGGTCTCACTGACTTTCCAGCCTGGGCTGGCTTCAAAGGGAAATCCTCAGATCTCAGTCTCCTGAATAGCTAGGATTACAGACATGAACCACCAGTGACAACCGAAATTTCTTTTTTATCTGTTAGTATTGTTGACAGCACTTGATCAAAAATCCACAAATAAGGCCAGCCTATTGTATATAACTTGATAAATTCACACAACAAAAATCCAAATCTAGTCATGTCTGATCCTCTTGGCAACATTATATGGCCTCTTGTGTATAGACCCTTAATTGCATTCCATGCTAGTAAAATTTTCAGAATATTGATGTCCCTTGTAAAGCCTGACTTTATAGGCACAATAGCCATTATTTCGAAGAGAAATGATGATATAGAATATGTTAGATAATTTTAATTCCAGTATTGGATTAAAATGGAATTTGTATAAGTGGTGTTTGATCATTTCTGGTAAAATAAGAAAAACAAAGCAAAACGGAATTGAATTGAGCTTCCCTGAAATATCCAGAAGGTAAATGAAATCACCTGTTGACACATTTGCACTAATATGTCCATTTTAATGCCAAGTACGTTTTAACACAGTTGATAGATCATAGCGGATGTACCATTAAACATTCAGTCTCTTCTTAAAGCAAAAACTATTACTGGGATCATGTCTCAAGTGTTAGAGCACCTTCCTGGTAAGAGCAAGGCCCTGAGTTCAAACCTCAACACCGCAACAATAAAAGTTCTTTAGCCAAAAACTACTGGAACAGGTAATTCTGCCCCAGGATCAAGAGAGGGCCTAAAATCTGGTTATCACTTAGAGTAATAAATATAAGTACCCCCTGGCTCTCTACTTCTTTCCGTTTCAGCCCTAGCCAAGTCCATGACTATTTGGGTCATTTTCCAGCATCTGCATAAACTATTCCAGCTCATTCTGCTAGTGATTATGGAGGGCAAAATCTTGCCTGGTCTTCCAGGCTTTAGGTTACAGCTCTTCCCCAGAGTAGTTCCTTCCTGAAAGTGAGATCCATCCTTTAGCTCTACTTTTCTCTAGAAGAAATACCTATCTATACTACCCATCCACTCCCAAATTCTGGTAAACAGTCTCTTCCCTCATAACACTCTGGTGATGTGGTTAAGAATGACAACCCTCAGTGGAATGGTAGGCTATTTATCCATACCATCTGACTCACAAATCTCACTGAACCTGGAATTGCAAATATATGCCCTATGCTGGCTATTCCACAGATTTCAACAATGACTACACAGAATATCTGGTTTCTTTGTGCATTCCCGGCCTTGAATGGCCTAGAATTTTCTATCATCTCCTTTAAAGGGACTGCACAGCTGGAGTAGGATTAAAGATTGAAGCTGTATTCATCTTAGCCTCAGACTAATTTCTAACAATTCCATCCATATTTGGAGTAAAATAACTACACATATTACTAGGAATACTCTAAAACTTATTTACTTTTGCAGCCCTAGGGATGGAACCCATGCTCCTGTACATGCTAGGCAAATGCTCTAGCACTTAGCTATATCCCAGTCCTAAAATCAAACTTAAAAAGATGACATGTGGGAGGTGAAACTAAAAACCTCTGGAAAAGTGTATTAATTATGATAGGTTTACATTTTTTAAATAAACCTATCTGTAATTACCATCTTAAAATAACCTGTTAGTACCATAAAATAATTATAAAACTATAAATTCATAGCTTATTCAACAGAACCGTTGAAGCAATTGTATAACTATTGTACAACTGTTAGATTATATACAATTTTAAAACAATACTGGTATGAATGGAGATCAAAATAAAATCTTGTTAGCTGGTCACTAGTGGCTCACACCTCTAATACTCACTACTCAAGAGATAGAGATTTGAGTATCTCAGGTCCAAGCTAGCCCAGGCAAGAAAATCCATGAGACTTGTTATCTCCAATAAACCACCTCCTCCCCCCTCAAAAAAACAAGTTCAACTATGTAGCTCTACATATTTTAGACTTGAGCTAAAAGCCAAGTGGATCCTGAGTTCAAGTCTCAGTAGTAAATAAATAAACAAATGAATGAAATGTTTCCTTCCAGAATGACAGCCAGCAGCTGCCAACAAATGTGAGACAATGTGCTCAATTTTGAATATTATTACTCTGTGTGTGTGTGTGTGTGTGTGTGTGTGTGTGTGTGTGTGTCCTGGGGCTTGAATTCAGGGGGTCTGGGTGCTGTCCCTGAGCTCTTTTGCTCAAGGTTAGGATTCTATCACTTGAGCCACTGCTCCACATCTAGGTTTTTATTCATTCATTGGAAATAAGAGTCTCACAGCCTTACCTGCCCAGGCAGGCTTCAAACAGCAACCCTCAAATCTCAGCCTCCTGAGATTAGGATTACAGGTTTAAGCCACCAGTGCCCAACATATAGTATTGCTTTTAAATTGTATTTAGAATCTTTCAAGTCAGGTGAGAGCAAAATGACTGCTTTATGATGTACTCTGTAGCCTAACTGCTCATACTCAAATAGCATACCAACTGGTCACCTAAGCCCATTCTGCTGTGTTCTAATATACATAGAATATACATGTGTGGGGTGTGGGTAAAGAGCGGCATCCGTGTTATTTCTCACATGTTATATGTGGTGATGTTCTTTCTAGCCTTGATGCATGCCTTGGTGTTTGGAAATGTGACAGCAATCATACAGAGGATGTACTCCCGGTGGTCACTCTATCATACCAGAACCAAGGATCTGAAAGACTTCATCCGTGTCCATCACCTGCCCCAGCAGCTCAAGCAGCGGATGCTCGAGTATTTTCAAACAACCTGGTCAGTCAACAATGGAATAGATTCCAATGAGGTAATGTCTGTTTCTTACATTGCCATTTACAGACAGAAAGCACATATTCTAAGCTAAAAGCCAAATACTCTAATGTAGGAACCAAGTAAAGAAAAAAAAACCTGCCAATATCTTTCTTTCTTTTTTGTGTATCAGTCCTGGGGCTTGAACTCAGAGCCTGGGGGCTGTCCTTGAGCTTTTGTGCTCAAAGCTAGTACTCTACCATTTGAGTCTCACCTTTTTGGTGATTAATAGGTGTTTAGAGTCTCATTGGAGCTAAGAATCTCATGCTTAGGCTGGCTTTAAACCATGATCCTCAGATCTCAGCCTCTTGAGTAGCTAGGATTACAGGCATGAGCCACCTGCACCTTGCTAACTTCTTTAGTTTCCTAATCTTTAATCCAGCATGAAACATAATCCATTTTCTTAAGTCTCCATTTTCACAATGCCACTTTAGATAAATTGACCAGAATTTTGTATTAATTTACTACTGTGGTCAGTCAGATCTCTTTTCATTCTCATTATCCCTTTTTGAAGCAAGTACTTCTTGTAATAGTTTAATGGTGGATTTTGGATAATTATATTAATCAACATAAAGTTCCTATTAGAACCAATAAAGTTTAAAAAATAAAATTCTAGAGCTGGGTGTCAGTGGCTCATGCCTGTAATTCTAGCTACTCAGAAGGTTGAGATCTGAAGATTACAGTTCAAAGCCAGCCAGGGCAGGAAAGTCTGTGAAACTCTCATCACTAATAAACCACCAGAAAACCAGAAGTGGCTCTGTGGCTCAAGTGGTAGAGCGCTAGCCTACCACCCAGGGACAGCATCCAGGCCCAGAGTTCTAGCCCCACGACTGACAAAAAGTAAAAATAAAATAAAATTCTAGAAAAGTGTTTTCTGACACCTAACAATAATACCCCAGACCATCACTGTGATACAGGTAAGATGTAAATCATCCAGCCTTTCTGCAACCTACCCACAAACCAATATCCCATGTTTTAAGAATGGTGATTTAGTTTCTCCTCTCTTCATATTCATGGTGCCAGAGGAAACACCAGTAGGTCCAAATCCCATAGCTTCTATCCTGAATAAGATTCCTTGACAGAGGGTCTCATATCTAAAATATACTTGGAACTCAAAAAATTAAATCCCCCAACCACAAATCTCCAAAGAAACAACTGCCCAATAAATAAGCTAATGATTTAAAGAGAAACTTCTCTGAAGAAGAAAGAAGGTGGCCAATAGACACATGAAGAAATGCTCAACCTCCCTAGCCATAAAAGAAATGAAAATCAAAACAACATTGAGATACCACCTAACCCCAGTTCAAATGTCAAAAATCAAAAACTCTAATAATAACGATGCTGGAGGGGATGTGGACAGAAGGGAACCTTACTTCATTGTTGGTGGGAGTGTAAACTTGTTCAACCACTTTGGAAAGTAGTATGGAGGTTCCTCAAAAGACTTCACATAGAGCTCCCCTATGACCCAGCAATCCCACTTTTGGGCATTTACCCAAATGTTTACAAACAAGACCACACTAAAGCGACCAGCACAACTACGTTTATTGCAGCATTATTTACGATAGCTAAGATCTGGAACCAACCCAGATGCCCCTCAGTAGATGAATGGATCAAGAAAATGTAGTATATATACACAATGAAATTCTATGCCTCCATCAGAAAGAATGACATTGCCCCATTTGTTAGAAAATGGAAAGACTTGGAAAAAATTATATTAAGTGGAGTAACACAAGCCCAAAGAAATATAGATCCCATGATTTCCTTTATTTGCAATATCTAGTATATGTATGAATCAAGCAGAAAAGGTCAGATAAGGTGATGTTAGGAAAATGAATCCTAAGGTATGTATTTTAAATGTTTTTTTTTCTTTCATGCATTTGTTTCTAATGCAATTATAAGATTATTTCTTTGTTGCTTTGTATGTCCCTCCCCCACAGTATAACCCATGCTTTCCCTGTATTTGATGTTGGTATAATTTGTGGAGGGGAAGGGGAAAAACAAGTCATTTAAATAAGGATAAAGGTGGACCTGTTGCAACAATGAGAAGTACAAGTTGTCATGTCAAAAACAAACTTTACAACTTGCGGGGAGAGGATGAGGGGGATGGGACAGGATGGGAAGGGTAAACAAAGGAGGAGGCTACAATGCTTGATAAGAAGTGTACTCACTATCTTGCCCATGTAATTGTAACCCCTCTGTACAGTATTTTCACAATAAAAAATAAAAAAACATCAGAAAAGTTAAAAAAAAAAAAGATTCCTTGACAGATACAAACCAAGGTGATCCTCCCAGGAAACTTTAATTTTTTTTTTACTTATGCAGATTTATTATCAGATGATTATTTCGTGGCACAAAATTAGAGTCACTGAAAAAGAAAATTTCTTCAGGATTGTACATGGATGGGTAGATTTCTTCTTCTGTGACCTGCTTGACCACACACTAAGAAGAATTCCTTGTTGTCTTGTAAAATGATCATATTTAACTCCAACTTGGTTTCCTCCTTCCTCTCTGGCAGCTGTTGAAAGACTTTCCTGATGAGCTCCGTTCTGACATCACCATGCATTTGAACAAGGAGATATTACAGTTGTCCCTGTTTGAATGTGCCAGCCGAGGCTGCCTCCGGTCTCTGTCTCTGCACATCAAGACCTCGTTCTGTGCTCCGGGCGAATATCTGCTTCGTCAAGGGGATGCTTTGCAGGCCATCTACTTCGTATGCTCAGGCTCCATGGAGGTTCTTAAGGACAGCATGGTGCTGGCCATTCTTGGTAGGTCTCCACCAAAAAACATCTCTGAAATTTTACTCTAGAGTATGAATGTGAGGAGGTCAATTGGAGTGGGATGGGGACCAACCAGCAAGAGTAGGAAAATTACACATGACCCTATAAACCAAGACTATTGTTCAGACAGGTTTAATTCCCCTAAATGGTACATACAACCTATTAGTATGGGCTTTTAGAAAATAACCAGTAGTATTAATAGTACCCTTATCTTACAAATGAATAAATAGTACATTAGTTGACTTGCCCAAATCAGATAGTAAGAAAAAGAATTCAGTTCTCTTCGATCCTTGAAGTCAAATCATTTATCATTTATATTGCCTCCTGGTAAAATCTTAAGATAGCACTTTTGTATTTTTGCGAAGAATCAGTTCACAGAACCCAAATTAAGTTTTATCTGCACTAAAAATAGAACAAGAATGGCTGTACTTTAAGAGCAGACTCTCATTATAGTCATTAACTAACATTGTCAAAGTAACTATGGGCTCTTTGTAGCTCCTGAAAGAAAACTCATAATGGTGAAAATTTGGTCCCATAAATATTAAGACATAATTATTCTTCATTAGAATTTAAAGGGCATCTGACAAAAGATGGTCAGTAAGGCTAATGTAGGAAAACTTCTAACCACTTCTTTAAGAAAAAAAATCTACTCATATGCTGATATATTCAAATAATACCTATTGAAAGCTGGTGGGTAAAACAGGTACTAAAATCGCTACCTTTGTGACATATGTTTCTTCTCATATGTGGATCTTAGACCCAAAATATAACCTCCTATATAAACACACATACAGGCATATGCTTAAATACATATTTTCATTGACTCAAGTATAGTATATACAGAGTGTCAAAAGAGGAAATTCAATACTCGCCCAGCCTTCTCTCAAGTTGGCAAAGTTAAAGGCCACTTATGCCATCATTCTGTGACTCTAAGTTAGAATTGACCATTATTTCTGATTTGTTTTGGAAGCTTAACTTTTGATTATATTTTCCTGTGCATTTCCTTAGGATGAATGTAACTTTTATAACCTGCCTATTGACATTGCCTGCTTTTGAGAGGCTTCTGGCCATTTTTCATAACCTATGGGTTGATACATGTAATTAAAAATAGTGAACTACTTAAAAATAGATTAATGTGGACCTTATCCTAATCACAGTGCCTATTTTTTTCAATGCCAGTATTGGGACTTGAGCTCAAGACCTGGCTACTGGCCCCCTAGCTTTTTCATTCACGGTTGCTGTTCTAGCAATTGAACCATTCCTCCACTTAATGGGAGATAAGAGTTGCTCATATTTGTCTATCCAGGCAGGCCTAACCCCTGTGAATGGCTAGGATTACAAGTGTAAGCCACTAGCACCCAGCTTCACAGTTCATTTTAAATGTGGTTAACAGCCAGGTACCAATGGTCATACCTGTAATCCTAGCTACTCAGGAGGCTAAGATCTGAGGATCATGGTTCAAAGCCAGCCCAGGCAGAAAAGTCTGTGAGTCTCTTATTTCCAATAAACCACTTGGAAAAAGCTGGAAGTGGCACTGTGGCTCAAGTGATAGAGCACTAGCCCTGAGCACAAAGAGACTCAGAAACAGTGTCCAGGCCCTGAGTTCAAACCCCAGGACTGGCCAAAAACCAAAACCAAAACAAACACCCAATAAAATGTGGTAACCAGTAATGATTTAGGCAATTGTATATGAAGGCATCTCCGTGACACCAAAGCAAAAAGGTACATTCAGAGACTTCATTGTGACTGTAAAAGATATCTAAATTTAGATTTCTTTTCACTGAAAAAAAAATCACTTATAGCTGAAAGGTATACTCCATTGTTATTTTGTTTGTGGCTTAATGTTCTTCCATGAATTGTGATTTTCATGATTGATATTTTCACTTCCCTCCCTTAAACATGTATATATTCAAGTGATCAAAGTGCAGAATTACCACATGGCCATTTTAAACACTGGTGTGTGGTATTGAAGCTAAATTCTAATAAAGATAAAGCATTGATATTTTCTTTCTGTGTTTAACATTGTTTCAATAAAATTGTGTATTCTACCTCTCTATGGTAATATGAGAAGGAAATTTTAATCCAACCTGACTTTGATCAATATAAGCACAGCTTAACATTTGATCCACATGTTCACTCTGCCAATGAAATGAATTAACATAGAAAAATGTTATAAGGGAGAAGCATCAATGAAAAGCTGTCAAACCATGAACTTCCTCAAGCAACTCTATTTTAGTCAACACATGAATATTGATATCTTGAGAAATAGTTGCCACAGGGGTAAGACTTAATTATAAGCATATAATTTGCTTTATCTACCTTCATTTCATGTCTGAATGATTGTGATTTTCCACCGAATTCTCAGTTGTCATTTTGTCATTTAAATGACAATTGCTAAATGGAGTCCTCACAGATGATGCACATTGACTAAATTTGGTTCTAACTCTAACCTGATGGTCTACAGAAACATCCCACTATCTTTTTATTTCTCAATGGCACAATAGTTGTAAAACCTGTGACCTTAAGAGGCGGTAGAAATCTATCACTTGTTAGAGAAATAAGGACACTGAGAGCCAAAGTAAAGAAGTAACTTAGCTCAAGATTCTAATTCTTAGGATGGCCAATAGACACATGAAGAAATGCTCAACCTCTCTAGCCATAAAAGAAATGCAAATCAAAACAACATTGAAATACCACCTCACCCCAGTTAGAATGGCTATAATCAAGAACTCTAATAACAACAGATGCTGGAGGGGGTGTGGACAGAAGGGAACCTTCTGGTGGGAGTGTAAACTTGTTCAACCACTTTGGGAAGCAGTATGGAGATTCCTCAAAAGACCCAGCAATCCCACTTTTGAGCATTTACCCAAATGATCACAAACAAGACCATACTAAAGCTACCAGCACGACTATGTTTATTGCAGCCTTATTTACCATAGCTAAGATATGGAACCAACCCAGATGCCCCTCAGTAGATGAATGGATCAAGAAAATGTGGTATATATACACAATGGAATTCTATGCCTCCATCAGAAAGAATGACATGGCCCCATGTGTTAGGAAATGGAAAGACTTGGATTAAGTGAAGTAAGCCAGGCCCAAAGAAACATAGGTCCCATGGTTTCCCTTATTTGCAATAACTAGTATATGTCTGAGTCAAGCAGAAAAGGTCAGATAAGTTGATGTTAGGAAAATGAACCCTAAGATATGTATTCAAATGCTTTTTTTCTTTCATGAGATTGTTTCTAACACATTTATAAGATTCTTTGTTGCTTTGTATGTCCCTCCCCCACGGTATAACCCCTGCTTTCACTGTATTTGATGTTGGTATAATTTGTGGAGGGGAAGGGAAAAAACAAATTGTTTAAATAGGGATACAAGTAGACCCATTGCAACAATGAGATGTAGAAGTCTTTATGTCGAAAAAACAAACTTTACAACTTTGGCCGGGGGTAGGGGTGAATAGAGGGGGGTGGGAGATGGGGAGGGATGAGAAGGGGGAACAAGGAGGAGGCTACAATGCTTGATAAGAAATGTACTCATTATCTTGCCCATGTAATTGTAACCCCTCTGTACAGTATTTTCACAATTTAAAAAAATGATTCTAATTCTTGACAGTGAGAAATCAGCAAGACTATAAAATAGCTACAGGTGAGGACCATGCTGGTATTTCCTAGTACTTGATTGCCAAGATTCAACCTAATGTCCAGGACACAAAAGTCTTGTTACATAAAGATTCACTGAATGAATAAATACACTGAAATTCTTTCTAAGGTACCAAAATGTGTTGGTTACGATCATTGTGCCTGAAAGAGCCATTCCCTGGCAATCCAAAAATATGGAAGTATAATGAAGTTGAGGTTCTTCTAGACACATTTGTCTAATAGACAATGTACATGTTCATTGTATAGGATACTTCATTCCACTAATTTCTTTACAAATGTACAGATGTGAAAATGTATAGTATTCAACACACACACACATACACACACACACACACACACACACACATCCCAGGCCAGCCAGGATATAACCACTCTATCTCAAAACTAACCATCCTGGGATGGGAAGGTGGCTCAGCGGTAGAGTGCATGCCTTGCAAGCATGAGGCCCTGGGTTCGATTCCTCAGCACCACATAAACAGAAAAAGCCAGAAGTGGCGCTGTGGCTCCAGTGGTAGAGCACTAGCCTTGAGCTGAAGAGCTGAGGGACAGTGCCCAGACCCAGAGTTCAGGCCCCATGACCTGCAAAAAAAAAAACCATCCTAAAAAGGGATTGGAGGCATCACTCAAGTGGCTGAGCATTTGCTTACCAAGTGTGAGGCCCTGAGTTCAACACCCAATACTACCAAAATAATAATAATAACAATAACAATCATAAAAAGTAAGGCCTAGGTGTGATGCTATGGGTGGACAGGCAAAAGAAACTCCTACTTTGTTGACATAAGGGAAATCTAGTGCAGAGCCCTCAGTGAACTTAGTCACATGATTTCAGCTTGTAACCTGAGTTTATATAAAAATTAAATGGGTGTTTATTTTTATATATTTTTCACATGGCTGCTGAATGAAGCAATGACTTTGTCTAAATTAAGCCCAAGGTTGAAATGAGCCTTTTCTTAGCACATCTGATGATGCTCAGTTTCCTGTTAAACTGAGTAAATCAATTTAATGATCTTAAAGATTGAAACAGATTGTCTAATATTATTCAGGCAACAATCTCAAGCAAGATCATTCCTTGGCAGGTGAATTTTAGCCTTAGGCTGGTAGGCAGATGGATTGCAAACAAAAAGCAATCAAGCATGCTGGGTGTTGGATGAGGCATGGATCATGTTCTAAACAATAGAGTCAGATCTCAGTTTCTGTGGTGGCCCATGTTAAGAGCCCATAGCTTTTATTATTTTACTTATTTACAATTTTACTTATTTATTATTTATTTTGATGGAAAAGGGGGCTTTTTATTGTCACAGAGCATTAGGACTATGAGCTGTATTTTGCATGCTAATTTTGCATGTTAATGTAGAAGATTCACAGTCAGTAATGTCTAAGAGTTTTCCCTTCTCTTGACTCTGAGAAGAAGGATGGAGAGTTTTCTTTTCATATCACTCTTTGGTCTTAAAGACATGATCAAATGCAAATAAAAAACCTGAGGATGTTCAGAAGCTGAAATTCACTCTTACACTGTTGTCTAAAACACTATAATCAAAATAATAAACACACTTTTCAACAGTCATAATTCAGTAACACAGAGCCACATTCTAGTAAGAAAAATCTAAGTCGTCATTACTCCCCTTGACCAATGTCAATTGATAGGTGACATTAATGGCCAAAACCATTCACCAAATCCTGCCAGAGACATTCCTGTAGTCCCTTCCCGCTAAGTCCTCCAGCCCTGGACCAGTATTCATAACCAGGGATGGATTTACCTACTTAAGTCTTTTGGCAATGTTTTAAGATACTTTTGACAGTTAGGAGGAGAGTGCTGCTCTGTTTCAGGACAAAGGATTATTGAATCCCAGTCTCAGTATTCTGCCTGAGATAAAGACTGTACTCTTTTCAGGGTAATTTGAGAGAAACGAAGTCCTTAAGTCAATAGAAATTAGTGGTCCTAACCTTGGTTTTCTTTAAAATGGTGTCTTTTTTTCATTATTTCTAGGGAAAGGAGATTTAATTGGTGCAAACCTATCAATTAAGGACCAAGTGATCAAGACCAATGCAGATGTGAAGGCTTTAACCTACTGCGATCTCCAGTGCATCATCCTCAAAGGACTCTTTGAAGTGCTAGACCTTTACCCAGAATATGCTCACAAATTCGTGGAAGACATTCAGCATGACCTCACATATAACCTTCGAGAAGGTCACGAGAGTGATGTAAGTCTCATTTCTAATTAGTGCTGAGCTCTGTTAACATGAAATCTGGAGATCATTGACAACAGTAGAGAAAGATGCCATAACCTCACTTTTAAAAGTCCTTTAATATAAGGTGTGATTATTCAGTCTCTGGCTCTGATGAATTAGCTAGAAGCCAAACTGGGAGTTTGTCACTAACATTCTAGGAAAATATTATTTGCACATGACTTCTTTTAACTCAGTTTCTTTCTTGCTTTATTTAATGTGCTTAAAATTAATTCGAATTTCAATAATGTATAATATTTTCCTAGAGATGTATGATTTCTCCAAGAGTTAAAGATTTCAAGGTAAAGTGCATAGTTCTGTATGCCATATTTGTAATTGTTCAATAATCAAATTGTTTGACATGAATTTCCTTAAAACAAATGATTTTTAGATAAACTGTTCCCAAAATTATCTAGCTTAAGCTGACTAAATAAGCACAAAAAAATTCAAAGCCAAAATTGTCACACTGAAATCATAATGAACACTTTATGCAATTATATATTTGCTTCATGCTTTGGTTTATACAAACACATTTCCTGTCAAAATACATGCTACTGTGCAGCTCTATGATTATGCTGATCATGAATATGACTTCATTAAATATGTCAGAGACAAATGATTTAATAGGAATGATTGTTGAAAGTTGAGCAAAATCATGCACAGCACTGGGTAACAAATGCTTGTCCCTGATACTTGCAACAGTCAATATTTAAGGGGTTTAAGAAACTGTGGTTTTGACCAACTGAGTAGACAATTGTAGCAATTAACATTGAAGAAAATTCAAATGGCTCCATTTTGGTTGGAGATATAAAATAATGTTAGATACCTAGGTGATATGCCATTCATGACGATCAGTTATGTGTAGGGACATCTTTCCATTTGGTAGTAAACAACAGAGAAGGTATAAAAATGAATTGGCTATTATGGATAAAGCCCTCTATCTATAAAAAGTGTCTTATTTATTGCTTAAAACAATCTTTAAGGTTAAATATCAATCTACTCCCACGGAAGAAAGAACCGAGTTCAGAGTACTGCATGATCATACCAATTTGTAGGTGGCTGAGACAGAGTTTGAGCATAGGTATCAGACTTAAAACCTACACAATTTCTATGAAATATATTGCCTCTTTTTGAAGCCAGTTTCATATAATTACTTAAATAGATTAAAACTTAAAGCTAGAGTGTCCTTTGTGCTCTCCATGAAAACATAAAGTAACCACTTATTTGAAGACTAAAGGTGAGCTAGGGATGAGGAAATAATCAAAAAACGAAGACGAAATAGAAACAATATCAGTGGAAAAATGGAAAATACGTGATAAAACTTGTAATTTTTCACATTTGATGCTTGGATTTTAAGGATCTTTACATCTTCTATTATTATTTATGGGGTACCATATGATGTTTGACTATGGTTTGAAATATTCTCCCATAGCTACCAGGCTCATATCTTCAACTCGTGGTCTTCAGCTTTTTGTTCCCTGGGGGAAGCTGTGGCAGCTTTGGGAGGTAGGGCCTAGCTGGAGGAAGGAAGGAAGAAAGGAAGGAAGGAAGGAAGGAAAGAAGGAAGGAAGAAAGGAAGGAAGAAAGGAAGGAAGGAAGGAAGGCAGGCCACACCTGTGTAAGTGATCTGACCAATCTCTAGTTTGTCCACCACACAAACTCACTGACATGCTGTTGTGTCCACACACATGGAACAGCCAGACCTGTGCTGTATCAGAAAGGAAGGATGGATTAGCTGAAAATTGGACTAGAGACTATTGCACTCTTTATTATTGTTGTTGTTGTTGTTGTTATTATTGTAAAGGGGATGTACAGAGGGGTTACATAATAAGGTCATGAGTACATTTCTTTTTGAACCATGTTACCCCTCCCACTTCCCTCACACACTCCCCCTCCCCCCACAAGTTGTACAGTCCACTTCCCACATAGTGTCTATGATCATCCTTGCATTGGTTCGCCCTTTGTCCCACCATTTCTGTGATTCTCCTTCCCTTCTACAAATTGGATAAACTAATATACAAGACAAAGGATATGGAAATCAAAAACAGTGACAACAAAAGCAAAAGAAAGAAGAAAGACAGAACTGCAAACAGTACATTATAAAAACTTCTTGTTTCCATTTCTTGGAGTTAATTTTGATAAGCTTCATTTTATATGGTCATGTGCACATTTCTATTGAGGTATTGTGATCCTCTGCTAAGAATATCATAGACATATTCTAGTTGTTACAAATAAGGAAAACCACGCAGTCTGTGTTTCTTTGGATCTGGCATGCTTTGCTTAATATAATTTTTTGTTACATTCTGACAAAGAATTCATCTACATTTTGTCTATGTTCTGGATATTTTGAATGAATCGCAATTCACAATAGTGGACTGATTCATTTGTTTAGGAAATTAAAACAAGCAAGCAGTCGGGCTATGGTATGGTTATTGCTAACTACTTTTAGACAGGCATATAGTGAAAATCTGGAGCCCAACGCAGAACAGAAAGATTTATAAAAGCATGCAGGTGGCCAAGAATGGAGTGTCTTTAAGCTTCAGAGATGCTAAGCACTACAACAACAGCGACAATGCCTAGAAGGCATCACAGGACATGGCCAAACTCCACCCACTGAGGACTCCTGGGTATAAACTTGTGTGAGATCCTATAAAAGACATTCCCCTGTGAAGGGGGGGGGGGGCTCCTGCTACACTCTGCCTGTGTCGAGCAACCCAGGGAAGTGTTTTCCTATGTTCAGATACTAGGCACTAAGAGGCCACTATAATCATGGTCCAGAGGGATCCAGCTATTGCTGATGACTGACCTTGTCATTGGTTATGCAATACTAGCTTTGTTACAAGAGTTGTGGGGTCATGGAGGTATCAATGGAAAGCTTGAGTAATGTGTAGCAGAATTAGATTCTTCACAAGGAGTCCCATGGTGTACAGTATGTAATACTTTAAGGCTATGAAGCCCATGCTAAAATGGAGACTCTAGGATATTAGAGATTCCAGAAATATAACATGTATTCTCAGGACAATCACAGGCAATGAGTAATACACCAGGCAGGATGCATCATAAATCCTGTAAATCCTAGGTACTTGGGGGGGTTGAAATGGGAAGGACTGCAGTTTGAGACCTGCCTGAGCAGAAGAATGTTTTGTGAAGCTCCTTCTCAATGAAGAGCTCGATAACACGCCAGTTCTCCTAACTACAAACAAGTCTAACATAGATGTATTGTCACCCAGGTGCATGCCAGAGCAGAAAGCAAGACTGTCTCCAAAATAATGAAGAAAAAGTCAGGGCTAGAGGTGTGACTTAGCAGTAAGAGCTTCTGCTTAACAAGCATGCAAGGCCCCCAGTTCAAAACCCATTATCATTTGAAAGAAATGAGAGAGAGAATGGACTAGGTAGACTGCTCATGACCAAGGTTTTCGGTTCAAGGTTGTGCACTGAAACTCATGTTGCAGCACTATGGGTCCCAGTAGTCAAATATGGGGCTGAAGGTATGTTTCAGTCTTGATTTGGTTTCCTACCTTTTGTTGAGTCAGGTGAAAGTTGCCAATACTAGGACTTGCCTTCAGGTCCAACCTATTCTTTTTCAGCTGGTGCTCTACCACTTGCACCAAAGCTCCACTTCCAGCTTTTTTGAGCTTAAATGGGAGTAAGAGTCTCATTGACTTTTCTGCCCTGGCTGACTTTGAATTATGATGTTCAGATCTCAGTCTCCTGAGTAAATAGGATTACAGACGTGATCCACCATCATATGTCTCCATTCCTCCCTTTTGAAATAGTATGATTTCTCTTTTTTTTTGTAAGTTTTTTTTTGTTGTAAAAATACTGCACAGAGGGGATACAGTTACATAAGCAAGGTCATGTATTTCCTATCCAACATTGTTGCCTCCTCCTTTGTGTTTCCCCTACCATCCCTTCCCTCCCACCTCCACATCTACTCCCCCTGGAATAGTATGGTTTCTCTGAGCCATTGTGATTTGGGAGTATGCAACCTGATCTTTATCTGACACCACTCACAGCTTAGAATTGGCTTTGAGTCTTAGAAGAGATTTTAAACTCAGACTTTGGAAAGTCGGGGGAACTGCTAAGGCTGAGGGGAGTCTTGGAGATGGTGAATACATTGTGCATTATGAGCTACACAGGGGCCTTTGGGAGTAAGGGCTGGAATGTCATGGTTTGGATATGAAATGCCCCACACAGCCTCATTTACACTTGGTCCTCAGATAGGGGTGCTATTTGGGGAGGTAATGGAAACACTGGGGTCAGTACAAAAAGTAGGTTTCTCATGGCATGCTCATGAAGATTGTACTAAATCTCAGTCCTCTCTACTTTCTCTGCTACCTGTCTAGTGAGTAGGGCGGAACAGCTTCTGTCACACACTCCTGTCACCATGTTGTGCCCCAGTGCAGGGGACCAAATAACTATGGGCTAAATGTGCTGAAACTGAAGCACAGTAAATCCTTCCTCCTCTAACTTGCTTATATCAGGCATCTTGTCACAGCAATGCAAAAGTAACGTTCCATATGCACATATTGTGAAATGGGTAAGTTAAGCTAATTAATGTCTGTGTTTTCTCACTTAGTTATTATTTACTGAAGATGAGAATACTTAACAGCTACTTTTCTAGCAACTGTCAAGTGCACAATACTATAGTAATAGTAACTACCTATTAATGATAGATATACAAGATCTCTTAAACATATTTCTCCTAACTGAAATTTTCTACCCTTTAGCCAACAGCTCCAACAGGGTTTGTTTTTGTGTGCTAGTTTTTGTTTGTTTGTTTTTACTGGGCCTAATATCCTCCTGGTTTACACAGATTGTCACAAATGACAGGAATTTTCTCCCTTAGGAAAATAAATACTATTCCAGTATACAGTTTTCTTTATCTATCCATGGATATGCTGATAGTTACATAAATTGATTGCATATCTTAGCTACTGTGAATCAAACTGCCATGGATAGGGAAGTGTAAATATCTAAGACTGATTCTGGTTTC